GATTAGGTACAAATTACGTTATAGTAAATGACCATAGTAATCTACTATATGATAAACCCAAAGATCCAAGCTTTTGCAACAAAAACTCAATATAAATGTTATTATTATTACAACTTTCCTATATTACATAATTTTTTAAAAAACAATGCACTTGTCATACTGGCCATTTGTCTTGATATAGCATTACATCAATAGGTTTGTAAAGTAACACATCTTGCAACAGCATATCATATGTTTAAATGAGTGGGGCAACTAGGTAGCAAAGTAGATAGAGTGCCAGGCCTGGAGTCAGGAAGACTCATCTTCATGAGTTCAAATATGGCCTCAGACACTAGCTGTGTGACCTTGGACAAGTCACTTAACCCTGTTTGCCTTGGTTTCCTCATCTGCAAAATGAGCTGGAGAAGGAAATGGCAAACCACTCCAGTATCTTTGCCAAGAAATGGGATCATAAAGAGTCAGACGTGACTGAAATGACTAAATAATAACAACAGACTAAATGAACATCTTTTATTATCTCTTGCATCATCCATTTGCAATGCAAAATGGGAAGATTTTAGTTTCTCAATTAGTAAATCAAAAAAAGCTTCAGGCATATGGTCATTTCTTCCCAGTGTATTTTCTGCAAGCACAACTATTTGAAGTTACTTTGCATACAATTTGCCAAACATTATTTCAACCATATTACCAGTTGCAGGTAACACTGTTTCTTCTGTCAAATATTATTCTTTTCACTTAGCAACTCTACAAATGACAGAGCTATTCTTTTTATGTCGCAGACATTTATATCTTAAATTTCATCTTATTAGAGCCATCTCAATAACCTAGCCTATCAAAGATTATTTTTGATTCCAACTGTTGCTATCCCTTTCCAATTTTGTGTCATTTTCAATTGCGAAAGAATGCAATCTCTGTATTTATCAGATAAATTGATTTTTTAAAGTGTTAAATAATATAGGACCCAGCCCAGTTTCTGGGGGCACTCCGCTGGAGGAGACTACCTTATGAATAGACATTGAACCAATAATACTATTCTTTGGATCTGTACATTCAACCATTTCAGAATCCATTTAATTTTGCTATTATTTAGCCCACATTTCTTCATCTTTTCTATAAGAAAGACAAGAGAAGCTTTATCAAATGTTTTGCTAAAGTCCACACAAACTATACCTACAATATTTTCCCAACTAGCATTAAAATAAATTAGCACATTTTCATCAAGGAGGTTTCTTGCTCATCTGTAAAATGATGTGTAACCTTTGATGTCTTCAATGACTGCTTTCTATATTTTCAGGGACATATTAACTTGAATTACCTTTTAAAACTCTGCTACTTGTCACTAGATAAGATCACAGGCCCTCATGTTGTTCCCTAAAAATGGAATTGATATTAATGTAATGAATTTTAGACTAGAGATAGATATGATCCTTTAAAAGCAAGGTAAGAGAATATCCTAAAAAGGACATTGCATTAGGTTATTAAGGAACTGAAGTTCTATTCCTAGCATTACTATTAAGTATGTATGTGAATTTAGCCAAGGATTTCATCTCCAAGTTCTTAGTTTCCTCATCTATAAAATTATCAGGTTAGAGTAGATGAAGAAAATATTCTATAAATCTTAAAGTGATTTATGAATACATTAAGATAATATATTGCTTTTGTATTTCTGTATCTGTAACAATGGAAAAATACCTGCTCAAATATGAAATACAAATATCTTGAAGAATGTAAGTTCCTTTAGGGCAGGGACTGTTTTTTTTTTTCAGTGTATTCTTGGTGCCCTCATATGCCTTGCACGTACTTAAAGCTCAATCAGTGCTTGTTGGATGAAGACTTGAATGAACCAATACTGAGATCCTAATGGAATATCTTGCTTTAGAGATAACCCTAATTTTAAGCCACATGTAAGAATTCAACTATATTAGTAATACAATAAGAAATTTTATTTTACATAAGAAGTCTCAACCCTAAGGAATTATAAAAGCAGAGTGTAACATAACAGAATTCAAGCTTCTTAATTTTAATTTTTCTCTTAACACCTAGCTTGGCACATAGTAGGCACTTAAATCCTTATTGATTGATTGATTCTACTTCTCTTGGTTCAGTGTGATCTTATAACTTAGTTCTATGACACATTGCTACTACCTGAATGTAACAGGTAGCTCAACAGCCAATTTCCTAAAGCTTTCCTCATGATTGATTCTACTTCTCTTGGTTCAGTGTGATCTTATAACTTAGTTCTATGACACATTGCTACTACCTGAATGTAACAGGTAGCTCAACAGCCAATTTCCTAAAGCTTTCCTCATTTGATGGAGATTGATTATTCAGTGCTTCATGCCTGTGTGAAGGACAAAGTTGGTGAGAGACTGAGAGAAGAGAGATGCTGGTCTTCTGTTTCCAGCTTTGAGAGAGAAGATACACAGCTCCTGACTCTCCTTAGGTCCCTGAAGGGAGAGAAAGAACCTGGGAAGAAAATGATAGGTAGAGGAAAAGGTGACCTTGATCATATTCCTATACCTAGCTGACTACAGTAGAGACTTTGGGTAACTTCCCCTTGTGTGAGATCTGTGATTATCTTTCTCTTGGTTGAGTTGATTACGTTGCTCCCAGGAAAGAGCTCATTCACTCTCTGTGCTGTCTGCTGTATATTTTTCTATGTATACTTTCTCTGTTTTATGTTTTGATATTGATTTGAATGAAATGGTTTGTTCTCTATCCTGTTCTTTCTAAAATTGGCAGATGGTGGGAAAGAGGTTAAGCTTTGGATATATAGCTTGTAGCACTCCTTTCCTGTTAAGGAATAGCAATCAGGAACACAGCTTGTACCTAAAAAAAACTTTTCCCTAGACAAACAACAATTAAGGGAGCAGATAAATACTCTAGCCTGGGAATCTCTCTCTGAGGAGAGCAGAGTGACTAGTCTCTGGCTTCAGTCTCCTACTTCCTCTTCTAGCAAAGATCAGAATCTCCCTTGGAGAAGGGTGAAGGGAAGGAACTCTAGAAATATCACTTCATTTGAGCCTCATCTGGACAGACCTATGCGGATACATTTAATCCAAATGGACCAAACAGCACACACAGCACTACATACACCCTGTAAAAGCAAAAGAAAAAAAGAGAAATGAAGTTCTGTGACTGTCATATCTTAACATGTAGTAGGGATCTCTAGCCACTGGAGAAATTACTATAGTCTGAAAAGAAAAAAGGAGGCAGCCAATGGAAGTGGTTAATCTTTTTAGTCAGGAAAGTCTGCCTACATGAAGTCACCGTTGGTGTGGTATAATAGAAAGAATGCTAAGTCTATGGTCAAAGAACCAGAGTTCATTTCCCAGCTCTGCTGTTAGTAGTAACCTTAATGACCTTGGGCAAGCTAATTAATCTCTACAGACCTCAGTTTCCTCATTTGTAAAATGTGAGGATTGGATTAGAAAAATCTCTAAAATCCCCTCTAGCTCTAAATCTTGTGATTATTATAATGAAATCTGATATAAGATACTGTGGAAAGGAGGTTGATATGTCTCCTGTACATGGAAATACAATGAGAGGCAATTGTCAGGATGCATGCTTGGTAGCTTTCAGATCACCACTGGGGACAGCTATTCCTATTTACTCTCTAGCATATTCATTAAGAATAGGACTATTTAAGGTATTGTCAGAGTCAAAACTGAATAAATAAGTTAGTTCTGAAAGAGCCGTAACAGTTATATCTATCTACAGTTTATATATATATATATATATGAATATATGTATTTACTTATATGTAACTATATATAATTATACATATAAACACACTTATAGCTATAGATAGATCTAGATCTAGATCTGTGATCTTACCCAAATATTATGAACTACTACATATCTATGTATCTATATATGTAGATGTAACTGGACAAAGTACATAACCATTTACCATATATAGTTAAATATATTAGATATATTACATATATAACATATGATATATGTAGATTATACTATATCTATACTACCATATAACTATAGATAGGTAATTATATCTATATGTAATAGATATTTATAGGTATATCTATATATCATATATAGTTATATATCTATCTGACATATATATCATGACCTATACATATCATATAGGTGTGATATAGGTAATATAGGTATATAACATACATATATAATAAAATTATGTATGATATATGGTTATGTAGTTTTATCTAGATATACCTACATATCTGTAGATATATGGTAGTTTATAACATTGGAGTAGGGTTCCATATTTAGGGGAGTCCCTCTGTCAGTGGTGTTCTTCGAGTTTCATCTTGCTCTGTCCCTATAGGAGTAGTTGTACATTTTGTCTTGTGTTTTTGTGCTGAGATCTACAGGGATTCTAGGGCTAATATGTATTTCTGTCTCAACTTTCCATGGCCTGTGGGAGCAATCTGGAGCAAGGGCCATATTTCTCAGGTCATCGTGAGAACTAGCCTGTATGACATGGAAAGACGTTATGCTCTGCTAATTAATAAGGATTCAAATGTATCTCACTGAATCTTTCCTGATTTTACCATAAGAGGGAGTGCTAAGCTGGGAAGACTGTGCAAGTATGACCTAAGATACAGTAATACTTTGGGAGTGCTACAAGGTCCATCAGAGCATGACATCAACATTTTATTATTTTTTTCACACCAAAAACTCTCAAATCTATTTGATGACTTTTCCTGATAATTATAACATCTTGTATTTTATGATAAATAAGATTTACTTTGAGGGGAATTTATTTTATAGCCAATTTGATTCTCCCACCCAATAAAGCTTGGGATAGTTGCATTTATTTTATGTGATTGGGGACTTTAAAAAAATGACATATGGAGCTTTGTGTGAACTAATACTGGTGTTTTTGATGCTTCCAAAGTGAAACAACCTCTACCAGAAATCTGAAAAATAGTCACTGTCACTTATCAAACATTCTAAGGCTTATAAGACATTTTTCTCTAATAGACTGTACAAGTGTTATTGTTCTTATTTTACAGATGAAGAAACCAAGGCTCATAGAGGTTAAGCAAATTAAGGTAAGTCCATAGTCATATATGTAACCTGCTTTTTTGTCATACCCTTGGCGGCAGTGAATCAAGAGGCTGGGGTATTTGTGGGGGTGGGGAGGGGAGGGACCAGGTCTAACAGGACAAATGGACTAATCGTCATAGATTTTATGCCAAAGTTTTTTGCAAAAAAGTGGCGTGCAACCATTATGTGAAGCTTTTTAAAAACCAATTTTGTGCCAGTATTAAAATAATTTATTACTAAACTATCTTTGGTGCAAGATTAGGATGCCCAGAATATATGTTAAGATTGAAAACTGATAATGCAAATGCACTAAGAATTCAAGGCTTATGGCTCACAATACCTGAGAGATAAATGCTTATCTATATGCCACTGGTGAATGCATTGCTGCTCTGTTTACCTTTTAAGTGGTGTGATGAACAGAATTATACCATGCGATGTTTACACGATGAAAAGTTACAAACCAATTTTTGGACTGAAAAAACAGGGCACAACGATTATGCAGTGGTGACAATTATGTGGTGAAATAGGCATCTAGGTTCCCAAATTCTGGAGTCTGCCCTTAAAGGGCTAGTGAGAAAAATGAGGAAAGCATAACAAGGAATTAGATGTCATCCTTGTAGATAGTTTAGGAGATGTCATGTTATACTTGCTGTAAAATGAAGCAGCTGTTTATAGAGAATCAGTGGAAGAGGTATGTATGATTGACCTGTATGCTGCTGGCCTGAAGGCAGCCAGGAGGAGAGATAATAATAGGATTGCTCTTCCTCTTCTTCTTTACTCTCTTTTTCCACTCTAGGGAAAAGTCTATAGCCTCAGTACTGGGCAAAATCCCTCTAGCTTCTGCTCCCATTGTCCTATTTTGCCTATTTAAAAAGAGTAGTTTGGATTTTGGGAATGTCACTCTGTTCTTGAATGTTTAACATAATACTGTGCTCTAATTTCCGATTAATTTGTCATTTTTGAGTGGAGATGGGGTGGGGTTAGGGTTAGGATTAGGGTTAGGCTTAGAGTGCAATTAGGGTTAGGGTTAGGGTTAGTGCTAGGGTTAAAACAGGGTTATTGTTAGGTTTAGGTTTAGAGGTAGAGTTAGCATTAGAGTCAGAGGCATTTAGGGTTAAGGCTAATGTTAGGTTTAATTTTGGAGCTGGTGGCAATTAGCATTTAGGGTTAGATTTATTGTTAGGGTTATTCTTATGGTTAGTGTGGGTAGTTAGGGTAGGTTAATGTTAGGGTTAGTGTTAGGGTTAGAGTCTGGATTAGAATTAGAGAGCAATTAGGGTTAGGGTTAGGGTTACAGTCACAGTCATTTAGGATGAAGACTAGGTTTAAGGTCAGTTTTTGTGCTGAATTTTGAGTTAGGGTTAGGGTTAGGATTAGAGTTGCCATATCAGGGTTAGAGTCTGAGGGTAAGAGCTGGAGCCTTAGGGCTAAGCTTAGGGTTAGGTTTAGGCTTTAGGTTAAGGATTAGATTTAGGGTTATAGTTAGGGTTAGGGTCAGGATTAGTGTTAGAACACATTTTGGGTTAGAGTTAGGATTAGAGTGAAGATTAAGTTAGGGTTACTGTAGGTTATGGTTAGAATTAGCATTAGGCTTAGGGTTAATGTTAGGGTACAGTTATGTTTTGAGTTTGGGTTAGGGTTAAGGTTAGGTTAGTTTAAGGTCTGTTAATGCTAGAGTTGTTGTTTTGATTAGGGTTAGCGTTTGGGTAGGTTAGGGTCAGTGTTATCATTACAATTGCCATGTCAGCGTTAGAGTCTAAGGTTTGGAGGTGGAGGCTTAGTGTTAGTTAGGGTTCTGGTTAGGGTAGGTTAAGGTTAGGGTTAGGGTTGGAGTTGGTTAGTGTCATCGTTTCTGTTAGAGTTGCCATATCAGGGTTAGAGTCTGTGGGTTAGAGTTGGAGGCTTGTTGTTAGGGGTAGGGTTAGGATTAGTGTTAGCATTAGCCTTATGTTTAGGGTTAGGGTTAGAGTGTAATTAGGGTCAGGGTTAGGGTTAGTGTACGTTAAAGTTAATGTTAGGGTTAGAATAGGTTAGGATCAGTGTTACAGTCAGAGTTGGTGTATCAGGGTTAGAGTCTGAGGATTAGAGTTGGAGCCTTACAATTAGGGTTAGGGTTAGTTTTAGGCTGAAGGTTAGGGATTAGGGTTAAGGTTAGAGTTAGGATTAGGTATATGGTGTGAGATTTTGGTCTAAGCCTTGTTTCTTCCATAGTCTTTTCCAGTTTTCCCAGCAGTTTTTTGAAGAGTGGGTTATTATCCCAGAAGCTGGGGTCTTTTGATTTATCAAATAATAGAATACTATAGTCATTTGCTACTGTGTCTTGCATATTTAACCTATTCCACTGATCCACCACTCTGTTTCTTAGCCAGTACCAAGCAGTTTTGATGATTGCTGCTTTATAATACAATTTAAGATCTGGAACCTGCTAGGCCACCTTCCCCTGCATTTCTTTTCCTTGGTTCCCCTGATATTCTGGACCTTTTGTTCTTCCAAATGAATCTTGTTATTATTTTTTCTAACTCTATAAAATAATTTTTTGGTAGTTTGATTGGTATGGCACTGAATAAATAAATTAGCTTAGGTAGAATTGTCATTTTTATATTAGCTTGGCCTACCCATGAGAGCAACTGATGTTTTTCCAATTATTTAGATCTGATTTTATGTGTGTGAAAAGTGTTTTGTAATTGTGTTCATAGAGTTCCTGGGTTTATTTCGGGAGGTAGACTCCTAAATATTTTATAATGTCTACAGTAAGATTAAATGGAACTTCTCTTTCTATTTCTTGCTGTTGGGCTTTGTTGGTAATATATTGAAATGCCAATGATTTATGTGGGTTTATTTTATAGCCTTCAACTTTGCTAAAGTTGTTTATTATTTCAGGTAGTTTTTAACTTGATTCTCTAGGATTCTCTTAAGTATATCATCATATCATCTGTAAGAGTGATAGCTTTGTTTCTTCTTTGCCTATTCTAATACCTTCAATTTCTTTTTCTTCTCTTATTGCTAAAGCTAATGTTTCCAGTACAATATTGAATAACAGTGGTGATAACGGGCATCCTTGTTTCACCCCCGATTGAAGTGGAAATGCTTCTAGTTTGTCCCCATTACATGTTATGTTTGTTGAAGGTTTTAGATAGATGCTATTTATTATTTTAAGGAAGACTCCATTTATACCTATGCTTTATAGTGTTTTTAATAGGAATGGGTGTTGTATTTTGTCAAAAGTTTTTCTGCATCTATTGAGATGATCATGTGGTTTCTGTTGGTTTTGGTGTTGATATGCTCAATTATGCTGATAGTTTTCCTAATATTGAACCAGCCCTGCATTCCTGGTATAAATCCTACCTGGTCATAGTGTATTATTCTTGTGATAAGTTGCTGTAATCTGTTTGCTAATATTTTGTTTAAAATTTTTGCATCTATATTCATTAGAGAAATTGGTCTATAATTTTCTTTCCCTGTTTTGACTCTTCCTGGTTTAGGTATCAGTACCATATTGTAAAAAGAATTTGTAAGACTTTGTCTTCACCTATTTTCCCAAATAGTCTATATACTATTGGAATTAATTGTTCTTTAAATGTTTGATAGAATTCACATGTAAATCCATCTGGCCCTGGAGATTTTTTCCTAGGGAGTTCATCAATGGCTTGTTCAATTTTTTTTTCTGAGATGGGGATTAAGTATTTTACTTCCTCTTCTGTTAATCTGGACAATTTATATTTTTGTAAATATGTGTCCATTTCACTAAGATTATCAAATTTGTTGGCATATAGTTGGGCAAAATAATTCCTAATTATTGTTTTAATTTCCTCTTTCTTGGTGAATCGCTTAATCCTTTTCATACTTGATACTAGTAATTTGGTTTTCTTCTTTCTTTTTTTTAATTAAATTAACCAAAGGTTTATCTATTTTATTGGGTTTTTTTCATAAAACCAGCTCTTAGTTTTATTTATTAGTTCAATAGTTTTCCTAATTTCAATTTTACTAATTTTTCCTTTGGTTTTCAATATTTCTAATTTGGTGTTTAATTGAGGACATTAGATTTGTTATTTTTCTAGGTTTTTTAGTTGTATGCACAAGTCATTGATCTCCTCTTTTTCTATTTTATTTATGTAAGCATTTAGAGATATAAAACTTCCCCCAAGAACTGCTTTCCCTGCATCCCATAAGTTTTGGTATGTTGTCTCATTATTGTCATTCTCTTGAATGAAATTATTGATTGTTTCTATGATTTGTTGTTTGACCCAATCATTTTTAGGATTAGATTATTTAGTTTCCAATTATTTTTTAGTCTATCTTTCTGTGACCCTTTATTACATATAATTTTATTGCATGATGATCTAAAAGGGATGCATTTAATATTTCTGCCTTTCTCCATTAGATTGTGAGATTTTTATGCCCTAGTATCTGGTCAGTTTTTGTGTGTGTGCCATGTAACACCGAGAAAAAAGATATTCCTTTCTATCCCCATTGAGTTTTCTCCAGAGGTCTATCATACCTAACTTTTCTAATGTTTTATTCACCTCATTAACTTCTTTCTTGTTAGTTAGTTAGGGTTAGTGTGAGTGGTTAGGGTTAGGGTTAGAGTAGGTTAGTGTTAGGGTTAGAGTAGGTCAATATTAGGATTAGACTTAGGGTTAGGGTTAGAGTTAGGGTTAGGATTAGAGTGCAATTAGGATTAGGGTTAGAGTCAGAGTCATTTAGGATGAAGACTAGATTTAGTATCAGTTTTCGTGCTGAATTTTGAGTTAGGGTTAAGGTTAGGGTTTGAGTTAGAGCACAATTAGGGTTAAGGTTGGTGTTTTGGTTAGAATTAGGGTTAGGCTTAAGGTTAGGTTTTTGGTTAGGGTACGTTAAGGTTAGGGTTAAGGTTAGAGTAGGTTAGGGTTATTGTTAGCTTTAGAGTTGCCATATCAGGGTTAGATCCTTAGGATTAGAGTTGACCCTTAGGTTTGGGTTTAGGTTTAAGGTTAGTGATTATGGTTAGCGTTAGGCTTAGAGTTAG